CTCCCCCTCCCTCCCTTCCTTCCTCACTCCTCCCTCCCTCCTTCCTTCCTTCCTTCATTCCCTCCTTCTCTTCCCATTCCTTACTTCTCTCCCTCCCTTCTTCATGCCCTCCCCCTTCCTCCCTCCCTCCCTCATTCTCTCCATCCCTTCCCTACCTCCCTTTCCTTCTCTCCCTTCCTCCCTTCCTTCCTCCTTCCTCCCTCCTCCCTCCTCCCTTCCTTCCTCCTTCCTTCCTTCCTCCCTCCCTCCCTCCCTTCTCCCTCCCTCCTCCCTCCCTCCCTTCCTCCTTCCCTACTTTTCTTCCTTCTTCTTCCCTTTCTTTCTTCCTCCCTTCCTCCCCCTTTCCTTCCTCTCTCTCTCTCTCTCTCTCTCTCTTTCCCGTCTTTCTCTCTTTCTTTGATTGAAGACAAGGTCTCCGTCTGTTGCCCAGGCTGGACTGCAGCGGCACCGTCACCGCTCGCTGCCGGCTTCACCCCTTGGGGTTCAACGATCCTTTTGCGGCAGCTTCCCAGGAAGGTGGGAGCACAGGCACGAGCCACCATGCCCACCTAATTATTATTATTATTATCATTATTATTGAGACAGAGTTTCGCTCGTGTCGCCCAGGCTGGAGTGCAGTGGCGCGATCTCGGCTCACTGCAGCCTCCACCTCCCGGGTTCAAGGGATCCTCCTGCCTCAGCCTCCCGAGTAGCGGGGATGACAGGCACCTGTCACCAAGCCCAGCTAATATTTTGTGTTTTTAGTAGAGACAGCGTTTCGCCATGCTGGGCAGGCTGGACTCGAACTCCCGACCTCAGGTGACCCGCCTGCTTTGGCCTCCCAAAGTGCTGGGGTGACAGGCATGAGCCACCGCGTCCGGCCGTGACTCGCGTTTTCTTTCTGGTTGGCAAACACAGGTGGGAATTCGCGGGCAGCCGCGCAAAACCTGAGCTGCCGGGTTCACGAGGTGGACCTCATGACCTGCAGCTGGGCCGTGGGTCCCGAGGCCCCCGGCGACATCCAGTACCACCTGTCGATCAGCAGCAATCCCGAGTAGGTTCGGCCTTGGGCTGCGGAGGGGGAGACGGGGAGAGGCAGAGGAGGGTGGAGGGAGGATGGAAGGGAGGATGGAGGGAGGGCAGAAGGGAGGATGGAGGGAGGATGGAGGGAGGATGGAAGGGGGAATGGAAGGGGGGATGAAAGGGGGATGAAAGGGAGAAAGGAAGGGAGGATGGAGGGAGGATGGAAGGGAGGATGGAGAGGGGGTGGAAGGGAGGATGGAGGGAGGATGGAGGGAGGATGGAGGGAGGATGGAGGGAGGATGGAAGAGAGGATGGAAGGGAGGATGGAAGAGAGGATGAGAGGGAGAATGGAAGGGAGGATGGAGGGAGGATGGAAGGGGGAATGGAAGGGGGGATTAAAGGGGGATGAAAGGGAGAAAGAAAGGGAGGTTGGAGGGAGGATGGTAGGAGGATGGAGGGAGGATGGAGGGAGGATGGAAGGGAGGATGGAGGGAGGGCGGAAGGGAGGATGGAGG